TATTTCTTTTTTTTTTTTTTTTGAGACAGAGTCTTGCTCTTGTCGCCCCAGCTGGAGTGCAAGGCACGATCTCAGCTCACTGCAACCTCTGCCTCCTGGGTTCAAGAAATTCTCCTGCCTCAGCCTCCCAAGTAGCTGGGATTACAGGTGCTTGCCACCATGCCCAGCTAATTTTTGTATTTTTAGTAGAGATAGGGTTTCGCCATGTTGGTCAGGCTGGTCTCAAACTCCTGACCTTGTGATCTGCCTGCCTCAGCCTCTCAAAGTGCTGGATTACAGGGGCGAGCCACTGTGCCCAGCCCTACATTTTTTTTAGAGATGAGATCTCACTATGTTGCCCAGGCTAGTCTTGAAGTCCTGGTCTTTTTCTTTTTTTTTTTCTTCTTTTGTTTGAGATGGAGTTTCACTCCTGTTGCCCAGGCTGGAGTGCAATGGCGTGATCTTGGCTCATTGCAACCTCCATCTCCCGGGTTCAAGCAATTCTCCTGCCTCAGCCTCCCGAGTAGCTGGGATTACATGCATGCGCCACCATGCCCAGCTAATTTTGTATTTTTAGTAGAGACGGGGTTTCTCCATGTTGGTCAGGCTGGTCTCAAACTCCCGACCTCCAGTGATCTGCCCACCTCAGCCTCCCAAAGTGCTGGGATTACAGGTGTGAGCCACCGTGCCCAGCCTCTTCTCTTATCTTTCTATTTCTTTTCTTATACTTACTTAAGGTCCAATTTGCTCTTTTCTTCTATCAAGATGGATGCTCATGTGATGTCAGCAAAATGGTGGACGACAAAGCCACCATTTGTCGGGTGGGATAATCCAACCATTTGGTGGGATAATCCAGGCTTTCATTATCCCACAGAAACTTCATAAAACAACCAGAAATTAGCTGAACTAACGTGTAAGAGCTCCAAAAAACAGTTAAAAGTTTACAGTAACCAAGTGAATGCCCACCTTCAAAATGTTGAGAAAGTTTTGTGGTGTTTTTATTTGCCCTTGCCCCCTCCTCCTCCCTGATGTGGCAGTGCTCTTAGTCTGGAAGAGGCAGCAGCCTAATTCCAAGTTCCCTCCCTTAAATGGAAGGGAGAAGAGCAAAGCTTTTCGCAAATTATTGTGTACATATGGGGGTTACCTGAAGGACTGGCCTCAGGTCTCAGAAAAGTGGTAGTCATTGCTCATGAAAGCTGCAAGGAGACTACAGACCCACTGACATATGGAGTAAAAGACTATGGGTGAATACATACAGTAGACCATCTAAGGCCCCAGTAGAAACTGCACTGAGACTCTTTAGGAAACAAGACATTCAAAAGCAGCCATGTATATGGGGAAATTGGGAAGTTACACATGCCCAGGTAAGACACTTGGTCAGAAAAGCCCTGAAAAGACCTTAAGCCTTCACCTCAGCTGATCCCTAGGCTCAAAGCAAGCCTCGCTCATTGTTGAAGAACTGTACCAGTATAGAGCCAATCTGCAAAGACTAGGGGAGTTAGCTGTTTTTTCAAATGTCTAATTTCCAACCAAAACTACAAAAATTACAAGGCATACAAAGAAACAGGAAAACATGGCACATTCAAAGGAGTAAAATTAATTGGCAGAAACCATTTCTGAGGACACCCAGACATTAGACTCACCAAACAAAGACTTTAAAACAATTATCTTAAATTTGCTCAAACAGCTAAAAGAAAACATGGACAAAAAACTAAAGGAAATCAGGAAAATGGTATATTAACAAAATTAGGATACCAAGGAAGGGACAAAAATTGTAAAAAGGAGCTAAACAGAAATTCTACAGCTGAAAGACACAATAACTGAAATGAAAATTCATTAGAGGAGCTCAAACACAGAAGAATCAGTGAACTTGAAAATAGGACAGTTGAAATTTTCAAATCTGAGGAGCATAAAGAAAAATAAAGAAAAGTGGATAGGCCAAGTGAGGCGACTCATGCCTGTAATCCCAGCACTTTGGGAGGTCAAGGCGGGTGGATCACTTGAGGTCAGGAGTTCAAAAACAGCCTGGCCAACATGGCAAAATCTCATCTCTGCTAAAAATACAAAAATTAGCTGGGCATGGTGATGAGTGCCTGTAATCTCAACTACTCAGAAGGCTTAGGCAGGAAAATTGCTTGAACCTGGGAGGCAGAGGTTGCAGTGAGCCAAGATTGTGTCACTGCACTCTAGCCTGGGCAACACAGTAAGGCTCTATCCCCCCCCCAAAAAAAAAGAAAAGAAAAGTTGACAGAGACAAAGGAACTTGTGGAATACCATTAAGTAGACCAACATATGCATTACAATTCCCAAAGAGGAGATAGAGAAAGGGGCAAAAGGATTATTTGAAGAAATGGCTGAAAACTTCCCAAATTTGATGAAAGACACTAATCTACAAATCCAAGAATCTCAATAAACTCCAAGTAAAATAAATCCAAAGAGACTCACACTGAGACACATTATAATCAAACTGTTGAAAGACAGAGAATCTTGACAGCAGCAAGAGAGAAGCAACTCATAATGTACAAGTGATCCTCAATAACACTATCAGCTGAAGTCCAATCACTCTGGGAAAAAAAAAAAAAAAAAAACTATTGGCCATTTTCTCAGCAGAAACCTTGGATGCCAGAAGGCAGTGGGATAATACATTTAAAGTGCAAAAAAAAAAAAAAAAAAAAAAACTGTCGAGACAGGCATGCTGGCTCACACCTGTAACCCCCAACACTTTGGGATGCACCATGGTAGCTGCATAGATCACTAGAGCCCAGGAGTTTGAGACCAGCCTGGGCAACATGGTAAAGCCCTATCTCTACAAAAAAAACACAAAAATTAGTTGCACATGTAGTCTCAGTTACTCAGGAGCCTGAGGCAGGAAGATCACTTGAACCTGGGAGGTCAAGGCTACGGTGAGCCATGATCATGCCACTGCACTCCAGTGTGGGCAACAGAGAGAGATCTTGTCTCTTTGAAAATATATATTTATATATATATGCGAAATCTACTCTGCCTGTTTTCCATAAAGGGAACAACAAAGCCTGGATGACAGCATATCTGTTTACCCTACAGTTCGCTGAATATTTTAAGCTCACTCTTGACACCTACCCCTCAGAAAAAAAGATTCCTATCAAAATATTATTGCAGGCTGGGCACAGTGGCTCATGCCTGTAATCACTAGATTACAGGCAACATTTAAGGAGACCAAGGCAGGAAAATCACTTGAGGCCAGGAGTTCGAGACCAGCCTAGGCAACACAGCAAGACTCAGTCTCCATTAAAAAAAAAAAAAAATTACTGATCATTGATAGTGCACCTAGTCACCCTATAGCTCTGATCGAGATGTACAAGGAGATTAATGTTGTTTTCATGCCTGCTAACACAAAATATTTTCCATAGCCAGTGGATCAATAACTACTTTTGACTTTCAAGTCTATTATTTAAGAAATATATTTTGTAAAGCTATGGCGGCCATAGATAGCAATTCCTATGATGGATCTGGGCAAAGTAAATTGAAAACATTTTGGAAAGGATTCACCATCCTAGATGCCATTAAGAGCATTTGTGATTCGTGGGAGGAGGTGAAAATATCAACATTAACAGGAGTTTAGAAGAAGTTGATTCCAAACTTCATGGTTGATGTTGAGGGGTCTAAGACTTCATGGAGGGATGTAACTGCAGATGTGGTAGAAATAGCAAGAGAACTAGAATTGGAGGTGGAACCTGAAGATGTGACTGAATTGCTACAATCTCCTGATAAAACTTTAACAGATGAGGAGTTGCTTCTTCTAGACAAAGAAAGTGGTTTCTTGAGAAGAAATCTACTCCTGGTGAAGATGCTATGAACATTGTTGAAATGACAACAAAAGATTTAAAATATCACATAAACTTAATTGACAAAGCAGCAGCAGGGTTTGAGAGGACTAACTCCAATTTTGAAAGAAATTCTACTGTGGGTAAAATCCTATCAAACAGCATCACATGCTATAGAGAAATCTTTCACGAAAGGTGCAGTCAATTGATGGAGCAAATTTCACTGTCTTATTTTAGGCCACCCCTACCTTCAGCAACCACCACCCTGATCAGTCAACCAACATCAAGGAAAAATATGACTTGCTGAAGGCTCAAATGATCATCAACATTTTTAAGTAATAAAATATTTTCAAATTAAGGTATGTACATTGTTTTTTAAACATGTTATTGCACACTTAAGAGACTGCAGTATAGGGTAAACATAACTTTTTCTTTTTTTTTTTTTTTTTGAGATGGAGTTTCACTCTTGTTGCCCAGGCTGGAGTGCAATGGCATGATCTTGGCTCACTGCAACCTCCACCTCCCAGGTTCAAGCAATTCTCCTGTCTCAACCTCCCAAGTAGCTGGGATTACAGATGCCCACCACCACCCTTGGCTAACTTTTATATTTTTAATAGAGATGGGTTTCACCATGTTGGCCAGGCTGGTCTCAAAGTCCTGACCTCACGTGATCCACTGGCCTTGGCCTCCCAAAGTGCTGGGATTACAGGCATGAGCCACCGCACCTGGCCACTTTCTTTTTTTTTTTCAGATGGAGTTTCGCTCTTGTTGCCCAGGCCAGAGTACAATGGCACGCTCTCGGCTCTCTGCAACCTCCGCCTCCCAGGTACAAGCAATTCTCCTGCCTCAGCCTCCCAAATAGCTGAGATTACAGGCATGCACACCAAGCCTGGCTAATTTTGTATTTTTAGTAGAGATGGGGTTTCTCCATGTTGGTCAGGCTGGTCTCAAACTCCCAACCTCAGGTGATCCACCCGCCTCAGCCTCCCAAAGTGGTGGGATTACAGGCATGAGCCACTGCACCTGGCCTAGTATTTTTTTTTTTTAAGACATGGCGTCTTACCATGTTACCCAGGTTGGTCTCAAACTCCTGAGCTCAAGCGATCCACCTGCCTCAGCCTCCCAAAGTGCTGAGATTACAGGCCTGAGCCACCACGCCCAGCCTAACATAACTCTTATATGCACTGCAAAACAAAAAACTCCCTGTGACTCACTTTGTTATGATATTGGCTTTATTGTAGTGGTCTGGAACCCAACCCATAGTATCTTCCAAGTTTGCCTGTACATTTCAGCTATCTATTATTGAACAACAAAGTACTCCAAAACTTAGTGGCTCAAAACCACAATAATTTTATTTATTTGCTTGTAATTTTGCAATGTGGGCTCAAATAGCCTTTCTTTGCTCCACATGGAGTCACCTGAGGTGGCTCCAATGGGCTGGAGAATCCACGTTTTAAATGGCCTTCTTCACGTGGCTGGCAAAAGCTGGTGTTGACTGCTGGCTGAGGGTTCAACTGAGGCTGTTAGCCCAAACCTCTGTTCTTCTTCAAGTGGTTGGTTGGGCTTTTCACAGGCAGTAAGTCTGAAAAGTCAAAATTCTAACACAGCAGCTGGCTTTCCCCTGAATGCAAAAGCAGAAGCTATCAGGCCTTCTTAAGGCATAGTCCCAAACTGGCATAACATCGCTTCCAATGCATTCTCCTATTGATTAAAGCAAGTTACAGGGCCAACCAGACTTAAGAGAATAGAACTCCTAAAGGTGCAAATATTGTGAAGCCTGGTTCATTTGGGGTCACCAAAGTAGCAGTGTACCACAAGATAGTCACCCTGCCAAGTGTTCTGTAGCTGTATATTTGTAATTACTTCTAATTATATTGAGTTTTAAAAGTAATCTCTAAAAAAAAATCAGTGTTTCCATATCAAAAATCTATTGATGTTTACAATAGCATACAACATATGCAAGTGTTAGCTCATACCACTAATTATTACTAAATCAGTATTATATTTCTTTGCCTCCTATTTTTGCCATATCTGTCAGGTACATTCATAATCGTCCCAAATTAGCAGTCACTGAAATAATTTCAGGTTATTGTATCTTTCTGAAGCTATAGTTTGTTGTTTAGAAAGTAATCTGCATATTGAGAGACTTTATAAGGGTTCAGATATAATCAACTCCACCTTTCTGAGCAGTAACTTTTTTCCCTGGAGATGAATGCTTACAGAACACCCAAGCAACAGATTTAGAGTATAAACAGTAAAGACCTTTAATTATCTTTTTTTTTCCTTTTTTTTTTTTTTTTTTTTTTGGGGATGGGTTCCCCTGTCGCCCAGGCTTGAGTGCAGTGGCTCCACCTCGGCTCACTGCAACCTCCACCTCCTGGGTTCAAGCAATTCTCGTGCCTCAGCCTCCCTAGTAGCTGGGACTACAGGTACGCACCACTACGCCCGGTTAGTTATTTTGTTTTTTGTATTTTCAGTACAGACGGGATTTCACCATGTTGGCCAGGCTGGTCGCAATCTCTTGACCTAGTGATCCACCAGCCTTGGCCTCCCAAAGTGATGAGATTACAGGTGTGAGCCACTGCACCCTGCCAAGACCTTTAATTACCTTACACAACAAAGTCTGGAGATAGACGGTTCTAAGCATGGTACAGCAGCTCAATGATATCAAGTATTTGGGTGTTTTCTATCTTTGCCCTCAACCATCTTCAGCACGTGAGTTTTTTTTTTTTTTTTTTTTTTTTGAGATGGAGTCTCACTCTATCGCCAGGCTGGAGTGCAGTGGCACAATACCGGCTCACTGCAACCTCTGCCTCCCGGGTTCAAGTGATTCTCCTGCCTCAGCCTCCCAAGTAGCTGGGATTACAGGCGCCCGCCACCATGCTCAGCTAATTTTTGTATTTTTAGTAGAGATGGGGTTTCACCATGTTGGCCAGGATAGTCTCGATCTCTTGACCTCGTGATCCACCCGCCTCGGCCTCCCAAAGTGCTGGGATTACAGGCCTGAGCCACCGCGCCCGGCCTGCACGTGAGCTTTTCATCTCGAAACTTGTCCCCTCATGGTCAGTCCTCACACCACCCCACTTACAGAAGAAAAAATGGAAAGGTGAAGTCTCCTCTGGAAGCTTTGTCTTTTTATCTGGGAGGAAAATATTTCCCAGCGGCTGCCTTCTCTTCATTTCTGTCAGACGCTAGACTACCCTCAAATTTCATTGGACCTGCGATTACAATTCACCTAGCAATAAGAATCAAAAGAATCGAACATCATTGAGTGGGAAAAATCCTCTGCAAGTACAGCCAAGACTTTTCTGAGGCTATTTTTAAACTGACGAATCAGAGGACAATCGCGACATTAGAGGAAAATTACCCAGGTTTACGCCATCACAAACGATGATAGCTTACGATGATAGCTAACCTGGCTCTTCCACTTCCTTTCAATCTCCAGAAAAGGCTCTCTGCGTGCTCATGGTCACGCGGCTTTTCAGATTTTTACCCACTTCAAATATGGCCGCCAAGCTCCGTTCTCTTTTACCACCTGGTCTACAGCAACAACTCTGGCTTCATGCCCGCTTCCAAAAGTGCTTCCTCTCGCGGGATTGTGGTTCTTAGTGCGCAGGCGCAAAAGTAAGTCCTCTTCCGGACAAAATGGCGATGGGACTGATGTGCGGACGCCGGGAGGTTCTGCGCCTGCTACAGTCCGGGCGTCAGGTAAGGATGCCCCGGGGCTGAGCACCGGGATGCTGCGCTGACCCAGTGAACCAAGCCCCAGGACAGCTCGTGCTAGGGATATGAGCAGACGCTGACCCGCTCACCCGGACCTGAATGTCATGACCTCGGGTCTTGTGAGGACGCGCTAGGGTTAGTCCCCAACACTGTGGGCCCAGCAGCCCGGTGTCAGCTTCTGGAATTGGCTTCGCCCCTGGCGAGAGCACCTCGGCCTAGTTCTCAGGGCCCCCCGATGCGGGTCTACGATAACTGAGATGTGGCGAACCAGGATTCAAGCTTTGCTCTGCAGGCATCACCAGCTGCATGCCTTCGGGCTAGCGGTCTGAGCGCGGTGATAGCAATGTCTGTACCTGTAGTGGCCGGGCTGCTTGCTTTTTGGGAAGTTAGCATAATGAATCCCCTTTGCCCCCACGCGAGGACTTCTGCTCCCGGTAAAGGGGCTCCATCATCCTTTTACACGCTTAGGTCCACAGCGTCACAGTGCCCTCGCAATGGCTCGGGAAACCGCTGACCGCACGGCTCCTATTCCCAGCAGCCCCGTGCTGCTGTCGCCCACACTACCTCTTCCTTGCGGCTTCCGGCCCCCGCAGCCTCAGTACCTCTGCCATCTCGTTTGCAGAAGTCCAGGTAAGAGGCCTTTCGTTCCTGCAATATTAGGAGTGGTGTTTCCCGGTTGGTTTCATATTCTGTTTTGTTTGGGAGCAGGGGGAATATGAAGCAGAGTTGTTGTCCACGCTCCACACAGCTCTCCAAAATGGTAGCATCTCTGCTTGGGATGAATTTTCAATTCAGTGGGGAAATGATTGGAAGTACAACAGGAGAGATGTTATATTTGGTTTTCTGAGCTGTTTTAAAGAAAAGTAATTGTTTCATGTTAATATATGGTAAAAATCATAATAGTGATATTCAAATGGCTGAAGTTTGGGAAACAGTGGTAAAAGAAATAACTTCCCAGCATGAAGGGAAGTCATGGACTCTTACTCAAAGTAACTTCTCTTCCTACCTATTGATAAAAATGAGATGTCCTTTTTAAGCTTGAATTCTACGTACACTAGGGTAACCTGGAAGAACAAGAAGTAGAGAGAACAGAACCCAGTACTGGTTATTTTGAGAAGGTCTCACTTTCTATGTGTTCAATACTGAATAAATATACAAGGCTTTCTTTCACACAGGTTCAGGCCCCTCCTGTTGTTCCTGCAACTCCCTCACCCGCAGCGGTACCTGAGGTGGCTTCTGGAGAGACTGCAGATGTAGTCCAAGCTGCTGCAGAGCAGAGCTTCGCTGAACTGGGGCTGGGGTCATACACCCCAGTGGGACTGATCCAGAATTTACTGGAATTTATGCATGTTGACCTGGGCCTACCTTGGTGGGGGGCCATTGCTGCATGTAAGGGGAATATACCCTATACCTGGGTTAGGGATAGAACCTCATAGATGGCAGTTATTTGAATGGATTCAGGAAGTAGTTGCAGAAGCTCTGGGATCAGAAGAGCAGATGATTTCAAATGAGCCATAGAGGCACATGATACCTAGATGCAGTCTACCTATATTTCTTAAAGAGCATTATAAAACCACCAGATCGTCTGGGATTCAAGAAGTATAGATATTTGAATACAAACATGGGGTTAGAGTCAGGGGACCGTATTAACAGTCATGAAGCTGTCCTGGTTTAGAAGAACAGAGGTTCAAGTCAGGCACTTAAACCCCCAAATTGGGAAGCCACTCGCATTGCTTTTGTAAAGGCTGAAACTGTGCTTTGAATTATGTGTCTGCCACCTTGCTCCATCAGTGATCTCTTCTCTCCCCTGTGTCTTCAACGTTTCCCTCCTTATTGCCCTACCCTGCACATGTAAACATGCTCAAGCATACCCATGTGTTACTTGGGGGGAAATTTCTTCCCTTCATCCTTAGTTCCCCTTCACCTACTACCCTATCTTTCTTCTTCCTTTCATGGCTGTTATTTATTTGTTTTGTTATTTGTGGATACCTAGTAGGTGTATATATTGATGGGCTACATGAGATGTTTTGATACAGGCCTGCAAGGTGTAATAATCACATTATGGAGAATGAGATATCCATCTCCTCAAGCACTTATCCTTTAAGTTACAAAGAATCCAATTACACTTTATATTTTATTTTATTTTATTTTTTTAAACAGAGTTTTGCTCTGTCACCCAGGCCGGAGTGCAGTGGCCCAATCTTGGCTCACTGCAACCTCCACCTCCCAGGTTCAAGTGATTCTCATGTTTTAGCCTCCCAAGTAGCTGGGACTACAGGTGTACCACCACACCTGGCTAATTTTTACATTCTTTATTTTAAAATATACAATTATTACTGATTATAGTCACCCTGTTGTGCTATCAAATAGTAGATCTTATTCTTTCTAACTAATTTTTTTTTAACCCATTAATTATTCCCAACCCTGACTACCCTTCCCAGCCTCTGGTAACCTTCCTTCTACTCTCTGCCCATGATTTCATTTGTTTTGATTTTTAGATCCCACAAATAAGTGAGAACATGGTGATGTTCGTCTTTCTGTGCCTGCCTTATTTCACTTAGCATAGTGATCTCCAGTTCCATCCACGTTGACTGGGTTTCGTTCTTTTGATAGCTATTACTTAAAAGATTGCTCTGTATCCAGTGAGCCTACTTCTTTCCATTTACTCTCTCAGCCATCTGGCTTTTACTCATATCACCTCATTTGAACTGCCAGTAACGTAATTGCTAAATCCACTTTTATTATACTTGGTCTTTCTGCATTAGGCACTTTAGACCTTAAAATCAATCCTTTCCCAGGCGTGGTGGCTCATGCCTGTAATCCCAGCACTTTGGGAGGCCAAGGCAGGAAGATTACAAGGTCAGGAGTTTGAGACCAGCCTGGCCAATATTGTGAAACCCCATCTCTACTAGAAATACAAAAATTAGCGAGGTGTGGTGGCGGGCGCCTGTAGTCCCAGCTACTCGGGAGGCTGAGGCAGGAGAATCGCTTGAACCTGGGAAGCAGAGGTTGAAGTGAGCCAAGATTGCGCCACTGCACTCCAGCCTGAGCGACAGAGCAATAGAACGAGACTCTGTTCAAAAAAAATAAAAAATAAAGTCAATCCTTTGGCTTTTATGATAACCTTTCCTGATTTTTCTCCCTGTCTTTCTGACCATACTTTTGCATCTCCAAATTATCCTACCTACCCGTTCAGTGCCAGTAGTCTGGGTTTTATCCTTAGCTCCCTTCTCTTTCTACTCCACATCATTCATCATAATGTTGATAAAGCCTAAACCTATAACCTAGTCTCATATTTGACATCACCATGTTCTCACTTATTTGTGGGATCTAAAAATCAAAACGAATGACCAGGAAAAATGAAGTGTGAGAAAAGAAATATGAAGGAGCTAAAGCAGTAGGCCATCAGATTATTTCCTACTCCAGGGATTTCTAGAACAATGGCTTTCAAACTTCCTTCCTGGAAGCCCCAGAGTTTTGTAAAGGGACCTCTGAGCAAGGTGAAGGCTGCCACATAAACAATCCTGTGGCCAGGCTTTTTGTTTGCTCAGGGCAGCATTTTTTTTTTTTTTTTTTTTTTTTTTTTTGTACATTGGGGCTACATGTACAGTTTGATGGAGCAGGCAGGCTCTTTTAATCACAGAAAAGTTTGGAAGCTATTGATCTAGAAAAGTGCTCCTGTCACTTTTTTGTTTGAGGAAACAGGATTCCTAATCATCTGCTTAGAGAAGTTAATGCCATACTTTTGTGATGCCGAATCAGAGAACTGAGCCTTAAAGCAACTAATTCATGCCCCTGACCCTAATTCTGGGCCTCTTAGGCATAAGTCACAGAATGGACAAGGCAAGAATAAGACCCTTTCAATAAGGACCTAAAAACCTTCAACCTTCTAGCTGCAGAACTGCTTTAATTTCACTCCAATCCTAGTTTGTATTTTCCAGGTACAGTCTTTGCCCGCTGCCTCATTTTTCCTCTCATCGTGATGGGCCAGCGAGAGGCAGCCAAGATCCACAATCACTTGCCAGAGATCCAGAAGTTTTCCAGTCGTATCAGAGAGGCCAAGTTGGCGGGAGACGATATTGAGTGTGAGTCAGCTGCAGAATGACCATGGGAGAGGACCACATTTGCACTTTTCCTTACATTCTGCTGGGGGAAAGGAACAATGTGAATCAGAAGTTGCCACAGTCGGGAAAGTTCTAAAGATTTATCTGTTTCTTGGGCCTAATGCTCCCAAGGACTGGCCAGGGTTGGTTAGAAATTTCACAAGCCAGGTAGATGATGAGGATGTTCACCTCCACTGATGTAACTGTTACCCCAACCATTAATTTCCTCTCACCTCACAGTTTACAAGGCTTCCTCGGAGATGGCATTTTACCAGAAAAAACATGGTATTAAACTCTTTAAACCTCTCATTCTTCCTCTGACTCAGGTGAGCAAAAACATTTCCTTCCTTATTTCATCCTGTACCCATCAAATTTCCTCTCTGTGTTTGATGTGCCCCAGGCCCCCCAAAAAAACAGGTGGTGGTGGCTTATACATGGCTTTCAGTAGTGGGGTGATGAAAATGTTTCCTCTGGTAAAGCATGCTGACACTGTTTATCTTGTGTAATAGGCCCCAGTCTTCCTCTCCTTCTTCATTGCTTTGAGAGAGATGGCCAACCTTCCTGTGGCCAGCCTGCAGACAGGTGGCCTCTGGTGGTTCCAGGATCTCACGGTATCCGATCCCACCTACGTGTTACCACTGGTAGTCACTGCTACAATGTGGGCTGTCCTTGAGGTAAGCCCAGATTGGCTAAGTGCCAGGCCTGCAAAGTGAACTGGGATTGGAGGGTAAAGTAATTGTACAGAATGGTCATCCTTCACTTGCTGGAGAAAGAGTTGATGGGTAAGAGATTAGAGACAGGTTCACTGAAACTGACAGCTTTCCTGACTTTTCTACCCCACTTCTTTTGGCAGCTAGGTGCTGAGACAGGTGTGCAAAGTTCTGACCTTCAGTGGATGAGAAATGTGATCAGAGTGATGCCCCTGATAGCCTTGCCCATAACCATGCATTTCCCCACGGTATGTAATGCCTTATGGGCTGGCTCCAAGGCCTTCTGCCTAGCCTAGCCACCTAGCAAGCTGACCAGGGATACAGCTTCTGAGTCCCCTCTCTGTATTCTCACCCAGGCAGTGTTTATATACTGGCTGTCCTCCAATTTGTTTTCCCTGGGCCAAGTATCCTGTCTCCGGATTCCAGCAGTACGCACTGTACTTAAAATCCCCCAGCGTGTTGTACATGACCCTGACAAATTACCTCCACGGGAAGGCTTCCTAGAGAGCTTCAAAAAAGGTAAGGGCTCGTCCTCTGTGAAACAGGACTAGGGAGAGGGGTCTACAAATAGGAATGCAAGTGACTCTCTTGCTCCTCTTTACACAGGCTGGAAAAATGCTGAAATGACACGTCAGCTGCGAGAGCGTGAACAACGCATGCAGAATCACTTGGAGCTAGCAGCCAGGGGTAAATAGTCCTTTCAGGCCAAAATTCTGTCTTTTGTTTCTTCTTTCTGTTCTTTTGAGATTTGTTTTCTCTTCTCCCCTCAGGTCCCTTACGACAGACCTTTACCCACAACCCTCTCCTACAACCTGGAAATAATAACCCTCCCAACATCCCTAGCAGCAGCAGCAGCAGCAGCAAACCAAAGTCAAAGTATCCCTGGCGCGACACGCTTGGCTGACTTATGTTCCGTGCGCATTCTGGCACGAACTCTGTCTCTTCAAAGACTCATCCTCAAAACAAGACTTGGCATTGTGTCCTTACCCCAGTCCTAGGAACTGTGGCACACAGAGATGTTCATTTTAAAAACAATTTCACGAAACACTCTTACACTCATGTTTATAAGAGAGCACTGGGTAGCCAAGTGATCTTCCCATTCACAGAGTTAGTAAACCTCTGTACTACATGCTGCTTCCTGATACTTATTGAACAGGGAAATGAGTGTGTGCTTCAGAAAACTGAAGAATACCCAGGACTTTGGGAGGCTGAGGCGGGCGGATCACCTGAGGTCAGGAGTTTGAGACCAGCCTGGCCAACATGGGGAAACCTCATCTCTACTAAAAACACAAAAATAGCCACACGTGGTGGCACACACCTATTGTCCCAGCTACTCGGGAGGCTGAGGCAGGAGAATTGCTTGAACCTGTGAGGTGGAGGTTGCAGTGAGCCAAGATTGCGCCACTGCACTCCAGCCTGGGCAACAGAGGGAGACTCTGTCTCAAGAAAAAGAAAACCGAAGAATAGAGTGGGTCATGATTGCTTTTGCTGGCCCATGGCATTGGAAAATTAATGTTTTAACCTGGCATTAAGGGTTTAAACTTCCACCCAGGCACAGTGGCTCACGCCTGTAATCCCAGCACTTTGGGAGGCTGAGACGGGCAGATGGCCTGAGGTCAGGAGTTTGAGACCAGCCTGGCCAACATAGTGAAACCCTGTCTCTACTAAAAATACAAAAATTAGCCAGTCGTGGTGGTACACGTCTGTAGTTCCAGCTACTTGGGCAGTTGAGGCAGGAGAATCACTTGAACCTCGGAGGCAGAGGTTGCAGTGAACCAAGATCAAGCCATTGCACTCCATCCTGGGCAACAGAGTAAGACTCTGTTTCAAAAAAAAAAAGAAAGTTTAAACTTCCAACCCATACATGTGTTGTTCTATCCACATTTGGATTGCAGTCTAGAGGTGTGGCTGATAAGTTGAATGTTGAGATTGTATCTAAATATAATAACTGCATTTCTTGATTCCAAGATTACTTTAAAAATTTCAAGAAGTAGATGTATGCAAATTCTTAGTGATAATTAAGAATGAAAGTTCCAGGCTGGGCAAAGTGGCTAACACCTATAATCTCAGCACTTTGGGAGGCTGAGGTGGGTGAATCACTTGAGTCCAGGAATTCGAGACCAGCCTGGGCAACATGGCGAGACCTTGTCTCTGCTAAACAAAGTTAGCTGAGCATGGTGGTGCTTGCCCATAGTCCCAGCTACCTGGGAGGCTGAGGTGGGAGGATAGCTTAAGCCCAGGAGGTTGAGGCTGCAGTGAGCCAAGATCATGCTGCTATACTCCAGCCTTGGCCACAGAGCAAGATCCTGTCTCAAAAAGGAAGTTCATGTCATTTTTATGTAACAATCCAACATTTCACTAGAGCAGTTGAAGTGTTCTGTTGTCTGCTTTTGTATAGAGCCTGGTTTATCAGCCTTCAGCAGCTAGCTTGAGAGAGAAAAGATGGATCTACTTTCAAGCATAAGATTGTTTTTAGTCTTTGTGTTTCTAGGCTAATGGGAGCTGTCCTAGAGATACTATATAAAGTGAAGTCACTCAGACTTTAGGAACATAACTTTTTATTGTCATCCAGCACCTGTGATAGTTTGATGTCTCTCTAAAGGAGACAATTGGAGGATTGTGGGCCCTTTTAAAAGAAAAGAGGAGTAGGTAGGCGCACTCAGGTGCTTTTAAAACCACCAAGCCCACACCTGACATGCTCCTCTCCCCAGTCTCCTCTATTGTCTGCTTTAAAAGTCTGGTACTGTATGTAGCAAAACAAATAAATTACTTTTCATTCCAAAAAGTAAGTTCAAAGGTTGAAGCTGCCTAGGCCAGGCTTCTGGACAGGTGCCTCCAAAGAAGTGAGCTTTCCTTTTCAACTTCCTCAGCTCTAGCCAGTAGACCAGAAACCCCTGCTTTCCACATCAGGATTCCAGATGGTGTTTAGTTAGACTTGGGATCCCGTTGCTTGGGCATCTCTCCTCCATCTTCCAAATCCATTTCTGCAGCAACTGACATACACAGGACCTGGAGGTACCTTGTGGCAGACCCTACAAAGAAAACTTTGAGTTGGAATTGAGAAGAGGTCAGCTGGGCTGAGTTCAAGTGTCATTGAATGGAACTGGGCCTGAGGGGAGTGATGCCATTAAGCCGAAGGGTTCATAAGAAGGGGCTATGGCAAAAATGTCTTTGGAGGCAAGATTTACAGAAAAAGGCAAAAACCAAGCTCTACAATAGCTGAGCTGATTTAAGGATGCAATGCTTACCCACGATCCTTCGGAGGTAAAGAGGTCGCTTATGTTCTGGCACTCTGATGATGAGGAAGTAAAAGGGCAGGCCTGAGAGGGCAATGGCAATGCCGATGAGGGAGTTGATGGTATCACTGTAAAGTGGAACAGCCACCAGGAAGATGGTGCAGAGGCAGAAGACAATCGGGAAGAAAACGCTGAGCTGAGGGCACAGGAAACACAACTGGGGTGGACCACTCAGGATTCTTGACAGCTAAAATAACTGATTAGCGCACTGAGCCTTCTTTCTATGCCTTTAATTTCAACACAGTACTAACCACCAAGTCCCAGGCAAAGGCTTCTAAATGAAGTGTCTTGTAATAGTCCCCTGTAGCAGCAACTCTAGCTGTTTCAGATGGAGGAGAGGTAGGATGGAGTTGCCATACCTTGAGGGGACGAGGTCGATCAGGCTCCTTCCAGCGCAGATAAAGCTGACCCACAATAGAAAGCCCCACAAAGAACCAGTAGCTGAAGCTGTAGTAGTTAATGAGCTGGAAGATGTCTTCCACGCACAAGTAGATCAATGCCATGATACCCTGTAAGTGTGAGCCCAAGTCAGCTCTTCTCAGGGCCTTTGTTACTCCAAAGGCTTTTCACTCCCTTTATACCTCCCAAATCCATCCCCTGTCGATCCTCAGAGTCTCCTGGTCCTCTTCTGTTTTTAATCCCTTTAACACTCTAGTTTCAATACCTTATCCCCTCTGTTACAAGTCAGTAGTCTCAACTGGTTTTTCAACCCATTCTTCAAGCTAACCCTGTATAAAGCAAGCTTGAAACAATCCCTCAAAAGTCTTGCATAGGACCATTTCCATAATGGCTCCAACCTACATTATCCAGCTCTTATCTCCTCCTGCATGTTGAATATCCCGATTCTGAAAATCCAAAATGCTCCACTGTCAAGTCAACACTCAAAAAGTTTCAGATTTTTAGAGCATTGCAGATTTTGGATATTCAACCTGTATTAAAACCCATACTGCTTTGCCACAGGATTTTCTGATATTATTTCTCCTACCTAAAGCCCATCTCTACCATTTGCAACCCTAGCCATCAAGATGCACCTTTTTTTTTTTTTTTTTCTGAGAACATTTTGGTGGATTTTAAGACACATACACTTCTAGAAGTAATTCTTCATTCACCCTCTCCTCCCATGGAAGTGATCATTTCTTAAACACCGTATCACTCACTATCTGTCATGGCAATCAATCATTACAGTGTATTCCATGTACTTTATGGCTCCTCTTAGAGCAGAGGTGTACCATTCCTTAAAGCATTTGGATTTTCCCTGTAGTGCCTGTAGCGGTTGGCATAGTGCCTTGCCCATGGTCTGAACATTCTGATCCACCAATAGTTTTTCTATTGGAATTTCTTTTAGAGCTTTCAGGAAGCTAGAACAGTCGCTTCTGCTGTTACTAAAGTTTCCCCCCACCCCCCCAATCATTTTCAGTCTCATCCTTGAGCTGACTTACGTTGAACAGCAGAGAAGGCACTGGTGTGAACCGCTCAACATGGATCATGCAGATGGCATCAGGGAGATGGCCTTCTCTTGAGCCCACAAAGAAAAGCCTATGTCAGGTAAGATAGGAGAAGCTGAGAAAATTGGTGGACACGATGCAGCCTGGTTCACCTGCCACATGGCCCTCCCTCTCTGCCATCCCTTCCTTCAAAAGTGTTTGGATAATATAGGCTGGAGCTCAGTATTAAGATTAATGACAACTGCAGGCTTCTGCTAGAAACAAGAAGAAAGAGGTTATGGTATCAGTGGGAAAACAGGTAATCAAAGTCCAGGTCCTGTAAGTTCTACCGTCCACTGCCATAGCCCTTCAAAAGATGCCACTCTTACCTAGAAGCAGCCACAATGGAGGCATTGAGGCCACCAAAACAGGATAATGCAACTGACAGTGGAATTATCCAGTTAAATATTCCAAATATCTGATCTGCAAAAGTCTAAGGGAAAAGAATGGAAGAGTCATTAGCAGGATCTAAAAGGGATGAAAGACATGGATGGGCATGTGCCAGATTCCCCTTATTAGGACTCCAACTCTTCTTCCACAGTGGGGGTCACAGGACCTTCTTGCAAGCCCCATATTCGAAATGAACTCCTTTCAAGGCCATCTACCCCCTTTCCAGGACTTTCAAGAGCCAGAATATACCCAGTACCCCACAAGTCACCCTCAACCTGCTAGTGAAAATCCTTTACCACAGCAACAGCATCACTGGCCAAGATGTCTCTCATGTCTAGCACAGTATAATAGGCCACATTGGTCAAGATATAGATGATGGTGACAATGGGCATGGAGATGCCAATGGAGAGGGGCAGGTTCCTACAGCCAAATAGAATAAAATACACATTAGTCCCACAGTCATATCCCTATCTCTCCTTTAATCCTTAGACTCTCCCTGCCACACCAGTCTTTCCAGGGATGGAGACTCTTGCTACGTTTCCTCAATGCATTTGTCTTTGATGGTGCCCTGGATAGTGGCTGAAGCTCTGAACTAAACACTTAAGAACTAAAGAACATTAGGGGAAAGGAATATCATATTAGGAGATAGGACTGTGCAGCTGGGATCAGTGGCTCATGCCCGTAGTACCAACACTTTGGGAGGCTAAGGTGGGCAGATGGCTTGAGTCCAGGAGTTGGAGACCACCCTGGGCAACATGGCAAAACCCTGTCTGTACAAAAAACTAGCCAAGCAGCCGGGCGTGGTGGCTCACGCCTGTAATCCCAGCAGTTTGGGAGGCCGAGGCAAGTGGATCACCTGAGGTCAGGAGTTTAAGACCAGCCTGGCCAACATGGCAAAACCCTGTCTCTACTAAAAATATAAATAATTAGCTGGGCATGGTGGCACGCACCTGTAGTCCCCAGCTACTTGGGAGGCTGAGGTACGAGAATCACTTGAACTCAGGAGGTGGAGGTTGTGGTAAGCCAAAATTGTGTCATTGCACTCCAGCCTGGGTAACAGTGAGACTCTGTCTCAAAAAACAAAACAAAAAATTAGCCAAGCATGGTGGCGCATGCCTGTAATCCCAGCTACTTGGGAGGCTGAGGTGGAAGGATCACTTGAGCCCGAGGAGGTCAAGGCTGCAGTGAACCATGACTGGGCCACTGCACTCCAGCCTGGGCAAGGCAGTCAGACCCTGTCTGGAAAAAAAAAAAAAAAAAGGATTAACAAAGAGTGTCCCAGCATAATAATGCACAGGAAAATGGGAGGTTATTTTGTTTTATACTCCAAAGATCTTTTAGTGTCAGGATTCCATCTCTAAGATTATCAACATTGGCAATTTTGCCTCAAGGTTTAGAAATATAAAAGGAAATTATGGAGGCAAATTGTGAAATTTAACATCTTCAGAGATAGGCCTTCAGTAGGAAGAGAAGTGTGTGTATCTGACAAGCAAGCTGGAAGATATGTCTGCCCACCCCTTCCTCAGTTTGAGAACCTCAGGAGCCATCCTAACTGGTGGGCAAAAGAAAGATGCAAAGAGCTCTCGAGGTCCCTGTAGCCCAATAAAGCCATGAACTTTATAAACATCCTTAACAGTAAGGCTGCCCAAAAGAAGCACAAAGTGGGGCAAATACTCTGCAAATACAGAGTCATGCAGCTTCTGTCCAGTAGGTGGAAGCACCACCCAGGCCTTCATCCTGCTTCTGTTATCTCTGCTCCCACAGCGTTACCACTAGTTGTGTACCAAGAGTGCTCTTCTGTTTCTCAAGCCAAAAGGAGTTTATTGGTATAAGAATTGTGATTCTTTTGACTTAAACATTTACAGAGAGCTGGACACGGTGGCTCACGCCTGTAATCCCAGCACGTTGGGAGGCTAAGGCAGGCGGATCACCTGAAGTCAGGAGTTCGAGACCAGCGTGGCCAACATGGTGAAACCCCATCTTGACTAAAAATACAAAAATTAGCCAGGTGTGGTAGCAGGCGCCTGTAATTCCAGCTATTTGGGAGGTTGAGGCAGGAGAATCACTTGAACCTGGGAGGCAGAGGTTGCAATGAGCCAAGATTGCGCCATTATACTCCAGCATAGAAAATAGGGCAAGACTCTCTCTTAAAAAACTCCATTCCCTGGCAAATCTTAGTTCCCAGAATCATAGAATTTTAGAGCCAAGAAAGGCCATGGAGATCACAGAATTTAACCCCCTCAATTACAGATAAGGAAGCAGACAAAGAGATGGCCGGGCAACTCCCTCAAGGTCAGCCCACAAGTCAGTGGAAAGACAAACTCTAGGTCCTTGTCTTCCTATCCAGTGCTCTTTTCACTCTATATATAGACTACAGAGCAATAATGGTGGGGTGACTTAATTGAATGACTGAAACTATACCACAATGTCAATATGAATTTAGGAAACAAGGAAGGGATCAGAGGGAAACATAGGAATGTTTCTGGACGTCTATATCCCAAAGCTATGTATGTGGGGATAAGGGTGGATGAAATATCTATCAAGGAAAATCTGTTTTAAAAACATACATAAGCATATAATACAACCTGCTTTAATTAATGTAGAAATTAATGAACAAATGTAAAAATGCCTTTAAAAAAATTTACAAAGCATACATGAGAAAGTTCATATTTTAGCCCTGTTACTATGATCATAGACAAGTTACTTCTCTGAGCCTCAGGCCTCTCATCTATTAAAATGAGGCTGATAAAATTAACCTCATAGGTGGTTGTGGTATGCTGTCTGTCACAGAGTAGTAGCTCATTAAATGATGGCTATCATTGCTATGGAAAATTGGTGGTGCAGTACCTACCTCTCAGGATTCTTGATCTCTTCAGTGACATAGTTGAGAGTGTCCCAGCCTGAGTATGAGAACAGAGCTGAGTACAGTGCCAGGGCAATGTCACCCACTGCATATGATGAACCCTCAAAGGAATTCTCAAAATGAGTGGAGGCTCCTGGAACCCAAGAACATTGGAAGGCAGGGGATTAGTGGCTTATTCTCCCACTTCACGATGATCAAGTAAAGGACTGAGAGAATATGGTAATATAATAGCAGGTAAGTGGCCTACAACACCTTTGGCAGCAAGAGTACCAGTAAGGGAACAGGAAACAGTAGAGAGACGTCTACAGAGATAGATCAGAATGCCCTGCATCCTAATGACATAGATGGGGATCTTGACAGGAAGGGTCCAGGGTAGATTTCTAGGATAAGAAACCACCATAGAGCAGAAAGGCTGGAGAATAGAAACAATGCAGTTCTGCTCTGCTCTGCAGGCTGCCTGATTCCTGCCTCCTATCGCAATCTGCCAAAGCCAGCTCCCAGGGCATGGCTGTCAACCCTTTTGCCAAGATCAGCCTCCTCTGGGAGGCAGTGTGAATGAAAGTTAAAGGACAGACTTTGGGTCAATTGTCCTGGATACAAATTTCAGCTCCTCTACTTGCCGGTAGCAACTTGGGCAAGATATTTAATTATTTTTTTTTCCCCGGCTTTTTTGTTGTTGTTGTTGAGACGGAGTCTCGCTCTGTCGCCCAGGCTGAAGTGCAGTGGTGCGATCTTGGCTCACTGCACCCACCACCTCCTGGGTTCAAGCGATTCTCCTGCCTCAGCCTCCCAAGTAGCTGGGATTACAGGCACCTACCACCACGCCCGGCTAATTTTTGTATTTTTAGTCAAGATGCAGTTTCACCATCTTAGCCAGGCTGGTCTTGAACTCCTGACCTCATGGATCCACCTGCCACGGCCTCCCAAAGTGCTGGGATTATAGGCATGAGCCACCCCGCCCAGCCCAAGATACTTAATTCTGCAGCCTGTTTCCTCATCTATAAAATGTGGATAATAATAGTGCCTACCAAATAAGGTTATTATAAGAAATGAAATAATGCACGAAGAGCACTTAGAGGAGTGTGGCTCACAGAAAATGCTTAACAAAGATTAGTTGCTGCTAATATTATTTCTTACCCTGGCCAAGTCTAACAATGCCTGCAATGATGATCGCGATCAGCGCCAATACTTTAGCATAGGTGAAAATATCTTGTACCAGGGTTCCCCACTTGACATAGGCACAGTTAATGAAGGTTAAGAGACCTGAAAGAAAAATCATACTGATTGGTGACTTACCCTCACCACTGTAGGACCTTAGACTCCCAAGCAATTTTTCCAGTACCAGTCACCAAGATAAACCCTTCAGCCAAAGACAGACCCTCTGACCTGCTCTGCACTGGAAGCCTCAGACCCCAGAATGTCCTCACCATTATCATGCAAAGGCCTCCCTACTCCCTACCGCCCAGCACCTTATATGGGAGACACAAAACAAAGTGATTGCAGATCTGCTTACATAAAAAATACATCCAGATTTCCAATCACAGCAGTGGGAGGCAACTGGGAACTATACAGGATTAGTGATTGTTCCGGCTCTTGGCTCTGAAAAGTCACAGTCTCTCCCTCCTACCTCCCGTTCCCCATGGGCTCTAGGACATAGCACTCTGACTCTGTGGTATTACTGTTAACCTTGAGGAGTCCTGCTGTGACTTAACCAATGCTGAGCCAGCAGGTCAGGCCGTGTGGCCAAGGATTAGGATGAAGGCCAGATTTCCTGCCCACTGCCTGGCAGCTCAGCTGCCTGCTTTTGTGCTTGGAAAGATTCTTGCAGCTAAGAGTGGCTCCTGTAGAATAGGGACAGGGCATTTTTCCTGATGGGACAATAGAGAAATAAGAGCCACACACATTCCCCCAGTCCTTCTACTCAGAAGTACAGGTAGTCCTTTTACCAGGGTTCTTAACTAAGTTCTCCATAAGGCTCAAAATTCTTTTTCCCAAAGTGTTATGTCCATGTTAATACAGATATACCTAAGAAAAAGGTTCATACCTTTTCTTAGAAAAGGATCATAGCTTTTATCAGAATCTCAAAGAAGTCCATTATCCCTCCCCCAACGAAAAAATTACAGTCTACAACTTGAATTTGAATTACTTGAAGAAATTCAAAAAGGGAGGCCCACAGATGCTGTGAGGTTGACCAGTAGCCCCAGGATGTAGCAGAGAAGAAAGCTGGAAAAAACAACATAGATCTTCCCACTGGTAGCATAGTGAATCGCTTCATTTATCCCTCCTCCTCAGCTCAGCAACTAGAACACTATAAGGAGGGCTTAATTTTACAGTCCTTCTCCCAAGGGCTCTAAGGGCAAGGTCAACATCACCCTGCCTTACCAGTCAAGAGAATGAGGCCTAGTACAGGTCTTGCCTACTTCAGGCCACCGAAGCAGTCAGAAACACCCTGAGTTATCCTGGCAGTGGTGTGGCCTTGGTGTCCCTAGTCCTCCTATTTTGTCGTGTCCTGGCCTCATCGCATTCTGGCTACTTCATCCTGAGAAGCAGGGAAGACTGGCCCCTCAGAACAGCTGCACCATCTTCTCTCTCTCCCCCTCCCTCCCACCACCACCCTCATTCTACTCACTGCCCACGTTCCTTTCTGCTCTTCCTGAGAAGGGGCATTCCTGTCCTATACAAATGCTTGCCTTTCTGCCTAATAAACAACAAACCTTATCACAGGGCTGGGCAAAAATGTACCCACAGCTCCAGGCCACCCCAGCGCTAAGTTAATAATTAAAGACACTAGTGTGCAGCACCCCACAAAATGACCAAAGTGCCTGTATCTTGCCCTCCACAAATCTTTCAAATCTGTTGCTCCTCCTCAGTCACCCATCCTTTACTCCCCACTGGACTCCAGCCTCCAGCCACTCAACAACCTAGTGCCCCTTCTCCCCAGCCTGTAACCTCTGCCCTTGTCCTAGGCTCTGTGGCTGGCTCATAACCACAACATAGCCAGGTTTCCAAGTAGAAACACCAGGCACAAAGGATGCCGCCACATTGTCAGGGGAATGGGATCTCCAAATACAAATTTATGATTCCCTGCCAGGTAACCATAGGTCACACCACCAAACTGGAATAAGCTTACAGGACTAGTTCTAGTTCAGACTCAGAATCGAGCCGTGTACCACAAGGTTCTTCTCGGCTCTGTCCAGGGATGTAGGCAAGAAAAGGAGGGACGAGCAACCAATTCCCCACCCACTACCATAGCAGATTCTGAAATGTAAATACATGGCTTGTTTATATTTTATTTTATTTATTTTATTTTTCCTTTTGAGACAGAATTTCACCCTTGTTGCCCAGGCTGGAGTGCAATGGTGCGGTCTCAGCTCACGGCAACATCTGCCTCCTGGGTTCAAGCAATTCTCCTGCCTCAACCTCCCAAGTAGCTGGGATTACAAGTGTGCGCCACCACACCCAGCTAATTTTTGTATTTTTAGTAGAGACGAGGTTTCACCATGTTGGCCAGGCTTGTCACAAACTTCTGACCTGAGGTGATCCACCCACCTCGGCCTCCCTAAGTGCTGGGATTACAGCGTGGGCCACGGTGCCCAGCCTATATTTTATTATATTTATTTATTTTTATTTATTTATTTTTGAGATGGAGTCTTGCTCTGTCGCCCAGGCTGAAGTACAATGGCATGATTTCAGCTCACTGCAACCTCTGCTTCCCAGGTTCAAGCGATTCTCCTGCTTCAGCCTCTCGAGTAGCTGGGACTACAGGCATACGCCACCACGCCCAGCTAATTTTTTTGTATTTTTAGCAGAGACAGGGTTTCACCATATTGGCCAGGCTGATCTCAGACTCCTGAGCTCAGGTGATCCACCCGCCTCGGCCTCCCAAAGTGTTGGGATTACAGGCATGAGCCATCACACCTGGCCCTAATTTTTTTTTTTTTTTTTTTTTTTTGGAGATGGGGGTCTCACTCTGTCAAATAAGCCAGAGTGCAGTGGAGAAATCACAGCATACTGCAGCATCAAACTTCTGAGCTCAAAGGGTCCTCCCATCTCAGGTACCCTAGTAGCTGGGATCAAAGGTGTGCACCACCATGCCCGGCTAATTTGTTTTATTTTTTATTTTCATTTTTTGAGACGGAGTCTTCCTCTGTCATCCAAGCTGGAGTGCAGTGGTGCAATCTCAGCTCACTGCAACCTCCACCTCCAGGGTTCAAGCAGTTCTCCTGCCTCAGCCTCCTGAGTAGCTGGGACTACAGGTGCCCACCACCATACCTGGCTAATTTTTATATTTTTAGTAGAGACGGGGTTTCACCATGTTGGTCAGACTGGTCTCAAACTCCTGACCTCATGATCCGCCCTCCTCAGCCTCCCAAAGTGCTGGGATTACAGGCGTGAGCCACCGCGCCTGGCTGTTTTACTTTTTTTAGAGACAGGGTCTTGCTATGTGGCCCAGGCTGGTCTTGAACTCCTGGCCTCAAGCAATCCTTCCATCTCAGCCTTCTGAGGAGTGACTGGGATTATAGGGAGGAGTCATGGCACCTGGGTGGCTTGTTTACCTTTTAATCCCTATTGCTTCTCTACTGCTCTCTTTTTTTTTTTTTTTTTTTTTTTTTTTTTGAGACAGTCTTGCTCTGTTCCCCAGGCTGGAGTACAGCGGTACAATCTCAGCTCACTGCAACCTCGGCCTCCTGGGTTCAAGCGGTCCTCCTGCCTCAGCCTCCCGAGTAACTAGAATTACAGGCATGTACCACCACGCCTGGCTGATGTTTGTATTTTTAGTAGAGACGGGGTTTCGCCACGTTAGCCAGACTAGTCTCAAACTCCTGACCTCAGGTGACTCTCCCGCCTCAGCCTCCCAAAGTGCTGGGATTACAGGTGTGACTCACTGTGCCCAGACTCTTCTCTACTTCTCTATCCATCCATATGTATCCCTCTCTTTGTCCACCAGTTTCCCACCTCCCCCATTCCTGAGCCTGATTCCTCAGCCACTGACACACTTTCCAGCCCTGATCTTCTCTCTGCACTGAGCACAGAAGGCTCAGTTTGAATGAGGAAGGGAATCCTACAGAAAGAAACCAGGGAGCAGAGGGAACTGACTGAAGAGAGCTAGCCCTCCTCTTCCTCAAAGCCCAGCTTCCTCCAGGGCCTCTTGGCTGTGGGAGCAGGAAATGAGTATGGCAGGCAGCAGTGCTGACAGGGCTTTTTGTTCCCACCTCAGCGGATACAGCTGACCAGTGGCCCCAGAGCCCAGCCAAGTGCACTGCTCTTGAAGTGGAGCCCGACCTCCTGCTTCAGGGCGGGGGACAGGAGGGGACCATGGGGTTAGGATAATATGGAGGCAACTGCAAGTTAACCTCAAGGGCAGAGATGCCCTCCCCTAGAGGGCATCCAGCCTAGGCAACAGAGCAAGACTCTGTTTCAAACAAATTTTTTTAAATAAAAAAATTAAAATGTTGACTAGGATCAGCAGAGCCATATAGTCTATCACTATAGACCTTTCTGTATTTGTCATTATTCCACAACGTTATTCAGCCGACTAAGAATCTACCGAACTATATTTTTATCTAGTCTACCTTGTCAACGAGAATATCATGAGAATTTGCCACGAACCTCTCCAAAATCTGCATACACATGCTTCTGCTCTAACAATCTAATGATGCTATCAAACAATTCAAATGAAATTAGTATATATGTAGAATATGCATAGCTACACCCTTGCAGTGGCCAAAAACTAGAAACAACCGAAATGCCCAGCAACAGTAGATTGAATAAATACTAAACAGCACTAAGAATAAACAATCTGGGCCGGGCGCAGTGGCTCAAGCCTGTAATCCCAGCACTTTGGGAGGCCAAGACGGGCGGATCACAAGGTCAGGAGATCGAGACCATCCTGGCTAACATGCTGAAACCCTGTCTCTACTAAAAAAATACAAAAAACTAGCCAGGCAAGGTGGTGGGTGCCTGTAGTCCCAGCTACTCGGGAGGCTGAGGCAGGAGAATGGCGTAAACCCGGGAGGCGGAGCTTGCAGTGAGCTGAGATCCAGCCACTGCACTCCAGCCTGGGCAACAGAGCGAGACTCCATCTCAAAAAAAAAAAAAAAAAAAAGAATAAACAATCTGTCATCCCAGCATGTTGGGCGGCCAAGGTGGGCAGATCACAAAGTCAGGAGTTCGAGACCAGCCTGGCCAACATGGTGAAACTCCGTCTCTACTAAAAATACAAAAAATTAGCTGGGTGTAGTGGTGGGCACCTGTAATCCCAG